ATTTCTTACTCAGACCACTGGGAGTCAAATAAGACCTCTTTTTTCACTTTAAATTTAACAATTTCCAATCTGAGTTTGTGATATTTTCATCTGAATTCTTTCAATTTAAATGCTCTGAATTGTATCATAAAAACAAGAATTGTGAACATTATGCTTCATCAATCTAGGATAATTATGCTATGATTTAGAACCTTATATTCATAAAAGGATTTTTAGTGCTAAGGCGACTGGGAGTCAAATTGAGAAATGATCCAATAAGTATAATAAATGTTAAGCACTGTTAAGGCTTGAAAAAGGAGGCGGGTCTAATTTATCCTGGAAATGTTTTTGTGACATCACGCAAAAATATAACAACTATTCAAAATACCAGAAAATGAAATAATTTGCAATTCTAAACTGTATAGAAGTATTAATCTACGATAAAACGTACCGCTGCATTTATTTTTCTCATTAGATAAACACCACACAGTAAGATGTAAACAAGTAGCTGATTCTCAATGCATTTGTCAACATGACGTCATTATGCGAAAATTTAAGGCATTTTAAGTGCGATGAGAGGCGGATCAAGTAATTTTTTCACAGTGAAAATTGTATCTTATTATTAAAGAGAACAATGTTTACAAACGTATAATAGACCACTGATTCCAATGCGTAACGTTTGCTTAATGTCAGTATTTATTTAATATCCAAAGAGTGAACTGAATTTATTTCCAAGGTGTTTTATGTATAGGAATAGCAAATTGAACGTAGAGGAATCTCGTGTAATCTTATTTTCGCAAGGGCACATTCTTAATAGATCTTGGCAGTTTTTCAAATATAGATAAATAAAACATTTTTTTTTCATGAAATCTCGAAAATTATTTAATAAATCTACAAAGTACTTGGTAATAATCACGCATATTTCAACTTGAGCCACATAACTTGAAATTTAAAGCAATAAAATTTTATTCTATATAAAGCTACAGTACTTTCCGGAAATAATAAGATATGTAGACAATATTATCAATTAAAATATTAATAAGGATAAGCCCTTGCGACATTGAAATTTGTATATGAATTTAACGCAATACAAATTCTGTGCATGTATCACGTGACCGTCAAATCAGCTAAACAAACTGAATATATTTCAGAGTGAGGAATACTGTCTTTTTTTCGTGTTAAAATATGTATACATGTAATTATACAGCTTTACAAAAATAAATAAAGTTTAAAAAGTATCCATTTGTGCGCCTCTATATTCAGACGATTTCTTCAAAGTACGCCTTAACGGTGCTGTGTATTCTAATGATTTAAAAATTTCATACTCTATGTCATCATACTCTGAATGCAATATACACCGACAAACAAATAGGAATGAAAAAAAAAATAACAGAATTCATAGACCATAGAGATAACCTTATCAATTATTCGAAATTAAAATTACAATAATTTCATTTCAGTTTTTGCCTTATTGTTTATTTTTTATGAAATGCGTATTCGATTGTTCTACTTGTTTGTCTAAATGCAGATCAAAATAGATGACATTCACACTAATTCCATAAGAAAAATCAATATAACTTTGTGCATTAATTTGATAAACATGTCAACCCTGCATTTTCAAAACGTGTAAATTAAAAAAAATAAATATTTTTCTCTTTCCCTAGACAGATGAACATTGAATCTATAAATCAGAACAAGTACTTACTTGTGTCTTTTTTTTCTCAACATTTACATTAGAGACCTATCCGACAACAGTATAACCAGGATACAGGAGAATGCATTTAATGATCTGCTTCGTCTTACACATCTGTAAGTAAAGTATTTCTAACTTAGATTAATGAGAATCGTTCAAAGACCTCTTTCATCAGTATTATAAATTCAACAAATCTAAATTGGAGTTTTTTTTATATCATCGTTTTAATTCTTTCAATACAAATGCACCGAATTGTATCCTAAAAGACTTTAATATGTAAACATTATATTTTATCAATTGAGAATGTGTTTTGATTAAAAAGATTCATAATCATTGTATCACTGGGGATAAGGAGTCATATTGAGAGTCGAATAAGTACACGTATGATATAATCTAAAATCCAAGATGTTCATTAAAAGATGGCTGCATCAGTTTCTTCTTTAACAAATCTTTACAAAAACAGAGAAATGAGAATTATAAATTGCTACAGAATGTGCTAATTTCCGTATTCCTAAGCTTCATAAAAGACTCTTTTTTACTCTGTTTTAGAGTTTGTTAACTTTGAAGGAAATAGTTCATAGTGAGAGATTCCAAGATTTTCTTTATAAGGTCAAAATGCAAATGATTAGGCGTGACTTTGAAATACTTTAATCTCTTTTTTTTCTGGATGCTTTTGTCTTTTATTTTATCAAATATATTATTGAAAAAAATATTACCAAGAGATAAAAGATGCTGTATTCCTAAAATAAGATTAAAACATTTCTCCCTATCCCCAAGAAAAAAATATATTCAAAACAGATTACAAAGACCCATGAAAGCATGGAATTTTTAAGAAAATATATTCTGTTTTGAAAAACATACAGAAAACATACATTGAACGATTACTTCATCCATAAAACCCCTTTCAATCCCATTTCTTTTTCGGCAATAGTTATTTGTAACATAAATTCTCACGATTTTACAGAATACAAATCTTTCACTATTCTATCTAAGTCTACGTATCCTAATGATTTAAAAATTTCATAGTCTAGATGTTATCAAAGGTGTGACTCAACATTCTCCGAAAACAAATTCGAGGGTTGTCCGGAAATTATTGAGGCATTGACAAACACAAAGAATTATATATTAATGTGTCAATGGTAGGGGTACCCGGTGCAATCACGAAATCAGATATTGAAAATAATTAACACCTACGTTCAAACTACTGGACCCATAGTAAGATCGAAAATAATAATTCAAATTTTGTATATAATTTTTGATTAAGAAAAAAATAAGAATTCTCTGGACAAGAGAATTCTTGTCTAACGCTTCCCCGTCATTTCAACACGAGAAAAGATTTACGGCTAGCATGACGTTAAAATGACGAAGCGATGCTGCTTCAGGTCAATAGCCATATGCAAGTTTATAATTTTACCGTGATTTATCTAATTGCCATATTACGTAAAAAAAAATTGCACCATTGTTTTATTTGTTCTTGATAAAATGTTGACGAAATTTTATGAATTTATTTCTTTTCTTTATGGAGTAAAAGTAAATGTGTCTCAATAATTTCCGAACAGCCCTCGAAGGGATGACAAAAATGACAGAATTTATAGAACATACTGATAATCAGTACTAATCAATTATTCGGAAAAAAAAAATTTACCTTTCATTTCAGTATTTGCCTTTGCTATCTAATACTTCTTATGAGATAAGTTTTAAATAGTTCTGCTTGTTTATCAAAAGAGATGACATTCACACTAATTAAAAGGAATATAGATTTCTTCATTAATTGCACAAACTTGTTGATATCACATTTTCAAATTGTGTAGAGTCAAATAAAAGATGTGGTTCTCTTTCTCTAGATAGATAAACATTGAATATTTGAACTAGAACAATTACTTACCTGTGTCTTTTTTCTCTAAATTAACAATAGGGATCTATTCGGCAACAGCATTACCACAATACAGGAGAATGCATTTAATGGTCTGACAAGTCTAACATGTCTGTAAGTATAGAATTTCTAACTTAGATAACTGTGAATAAATCAAAGAACTCTTTCGTCACTATTTTAAGAAACTCTAAATTTGAATTTTTCATATTATCGTTTTAACTTTTTCAATATAATGCTCCGAAATGTATCTTATCAAAAAATTGAAATGATTTGACTTGACTTTGAAGTTCTTTAAAATTTGTTTTTCTGCATGCTGTTGTCCATTATTTTCCCAAGTATGTTATTATTGACAAAACGATAACTAAGAGATGAAAGATATTGTATTCCTTGAAAAAGAATGTCTCCCAACACCTAAAGAAAAATGAATGCTTAAAAAATGATTAAGAAGACTCATGGTAGCACGGAAATCTTAAGAAAATATACATTGAACGATTACTTCATCCACAAAAAAAATTATTATTCTATCTCTTTATCAGCAATGAAAAGAGATGAATTACTTAGGCCATAAATTCATTAGAATGGATAGAATACCAATCTTGCACCGTTCTATCTAATTCTATGTATTGTATTACTTAACAAATTTCATACTGTCTGCTATCAAAATCGTAAGGCAATATAAACCGATAAACAAATAGGAATGACAAATATAACAGAATTCATAGACCGTAAAGATAACATTATCAACTATTCGGAATTCAAATTGAAATCATTTTATTTCAGTCTTTGCCTTTGCCATCTTTTTTATGAGAAAAGGTTTTAAAGCTTTGCTTGTTTTCTTCTCAAAATGCCATTCAACAGAGATAGATGACTTTCACACTTAAATTAAAATCTATTAAGAAGAACATTACATTATGCATTAATTGCACAAATTTATTTATCTCACATTCTGAACGTGTAGAGTAAAATAGTTTTTCTCTTTAAATATATACTAGTAGATAAACGTTCACTGCATAAACCAAAACATGCATTTACGTGCGTCTTTTTTCTCTTCATTTACATTAGAGATCTATCTGGCAACAGAATAACCACAATACAGGAGAATTCATTTAATGGTCTGTCAAGTCTAACACGTCTGTAAGTATAGAGTTTCTATTTTGAAAAACATACACAAAACTTACAATGCATGATTACTTCATCCACAAAAATGCTTACTATTCCATCTCTTTATTAACAATGAAAAAAGACGAATTACTTGCATGTACCATAAACTCCTAAGACTTCATAGAATACAAATCTTGCACTATTCTATTTAATTCTATGTTATATATTATTTTAAAATTTTCATACTCTATGTTATCATAGTCGTTATGCAACATGCACCGAAAAAAAACAAATAGGAATGACAACCAGAAGCCTCTGACGAGACTGTAGCCCTACTGGTTTGTACTTATAACAATGGAAGATAAAAGTATCACTTGGACTTGAAAATTTGCAACAACAATACGTAGAATAATGATCCTTGGCGTAGTCTCTTTTTGTGGCAAGATTTATTGCAACCAGACTAAAACTGTAGGAGGAGTAGCCTTTTAAAAGAATTTTACAGAAATTTCAATTTTAGTAACCATGACAACATTATTCAAACAAAATCAAAAAATAATAGAGACAATTTTGTATCTTAATGTCTTGTATGCCAAGTTATACTGAAATCAGATCAAAACTGTAGGAGGAGTAGCATTTTGAAAGTATTTCAAGGAAATTTCTATTTTTAGTAACAATGGCAACACCGTTCATTGAAATCAAAAATCGATATAAAGAATTTTGTATCTTAGTGTAGTCTACTTGTGTGCCAAGTTATAGAGAAATTAGACCAAAACTGTAGGAGAAGTTGGGTTTTAAAAGAGTTTCACAGAAATTTCTATCTTTAGTAACCATGGCAAAGCCGTTCATTGAAATCAAAAATCAATATACAGAATTGTGTATCATAGTCTAGTCTACTTGTGTGCCAAGTTATATTGAAATCACACTACAACTGTAGGAGGGGTAGCATTTTGAAAAATTGTTTACAGACAGACAGACAGCTAGACAGACAGACAGACGGACGGACACCTTACTATCTCATAGAGCACACAGATAACTTTATCAATTATTCGGAATTAAAATTACAATCATTTCACTCCAATCTTTGCCTTTGCAATCTGTTTTTCCATGAGAAAAGTTTTTGATAGTTCAGCTTGTTTTATCAAAATGCAATTCAAAAGAAATGACATTCACCCTAATTTTCATTAGAAAGAACATAACATTGTGCATGAATAGCTGAAATTAGTTAATCTCACATTCTGAAAGTGTTGAGTCAAATAAAATATTTTAACTATCTCTTGATAGTTAAACATTGAACATATAAACCAGAACAATTACTTAACGTCTTTTCTCTCTACATTTACATTAGAGGCCTATTCGGGAACAGCATATCCACGATAGAGGAGAATGCATTTAATGGTCTGTCAAGTCTATTGCGTCTGTAAGTAAAGAAGTTGTAAGTTAGATTACTGTAAATATATCGATCACTGTTTTAAATTCAACATTTTTAGCTTTGAGTTTTTCATGATATTGTTTCAATTCTTGCAAGATAAGTTCTCCAATCTGTGATTATAATGCAGTAATATGTCAGCATTATACTTCATCAGTTAAGGTTATTTGTTGATTAAGCATATTATATTTATAGAAAGAAACATAGTGATTGTAGCTTTAGGGATAGGGGGTCAGACTGAAAGATGATTAAGTACACGTATAATATTGCAACGTCCAAGATGCACATTTAAAGCTACACGTTTTTTTTCCTTTGCTAGATCTTTATAGGATCAATAATTCAAATGTAAGGCTTGACTTTGAAGCACTTTAATCTATTCTTTTCTGCATGTTTGTGTACATTATTTTACCACATATATTATTATTGACAAAAAATTAGTAGATATTGCATTCCTTAAATAAGATTAAAAACATTCTTTCCACCCCAAAGAAAAATGCATTTTTAAGTATAGATTACGAAGACCCATGATAGCATGGATTTCTTAGGAAAATATATTTATTTTGAAAAACATACAGAAAACATACATTGAACGATTACTTCATATACAAAAAACCCTAACTATTCGATCTCTTTATCGGTTATGAAAAAAGACGAATTACTTGTGCAAAGAATTTAAAAGACTTGCCCTATTCTATCTAATTCTATATATTATATTAACTGAAAAATGTCATACTTATGCTATCAAATTTGTGATGCAACATACACCCATAAAACAAATAGGAATGACATAATTTATATTGAATACAGAAAACATTATCAATTATTCAAAATTAAAATTACAATTATTTCATTTCTGTCAATGTCTTTGACATTTGCACTAATTTTCATTAAAAGAACATAAAATTGTGCATGAATTCCAAAAACTTGTTTTTCTCCCTTTTCAAAATATGTAGAGTAAAATAAATTTTTTTTCTCTTTTTCTATTAGTATATAAATAAACGTTGAATCTATAAATCTGAAAAAGTACTTACCTGTGCCTTTTTTTCTCTACACTTACATTAGAGATCTATCCGACAACAGGATAACAGCAATACATGAGAATGCATTCAATGGTCTGTCAAGTCTATGGTATCTGTAAGTATAGATATTCAGACAGATAACTATGAACCAGTCAAATAACTCTTTTTCACTGATTTAAATTCAGAAATTCCAAATTTCAGTTTTTCATATCATTGTTTTAATTCTTTCAATATAAATGTTCCCAGCTATATCTTAAAAGACAGGAATATTTAAGCATTATATATCATCATTTAAGGATGTATTTTGATTAAGAATATTACAATCATAAAAAGATTCATAGTGATTGTAGCTCTGAGGATAGTTAGTCCGATTTAGAGGTGAATAAGTATATGTATGATATTTAAATATCCAAGATACGATTGAAAGATCGCTATCTTTCAATATCCAAGATGTGCATTGGATCAAGGTTATATATATTTTTTCTTTGATCGATCTTTACAATGAAAGATAAATGAGAAATATAATTATTTGGAATTTGGAATTCGAAAACTCACTGATTTAAATTCTGAAATTCCAAATTTCAGTTTTTCATATTATTATTTCAATTCTTTCAATATAACTGTTACCAGCTATATCTTAAAAGACAGGAATATGTAAGCATTATATATCTTTCAGTGTTTTTTTTTCTCTTCATTTACATTAGAGGTCTATTCGGGAACAACATATCCACAATACAAGAGAATGCATTTAATGGTCTGTCATGTCTATTGCGCCTGTAAGTATAGGATTTCTAACTTAGATTACTGAATCAAACAACTCTTTCATCACCGTCTTAAATTCAACATTTCCCATTCTGAGTTCTCCGTGATATTGTTTTAATACTTTCAAGATAAATGCCCCAATTTGTATCATTAAATACAGTAATATGTACAGTAATATGTAACCAATATACTTCATCAATTAGGATGTTTCTTGGTAAAGAATTTTAAGATATTACATTCATAAAAGGATTCATAGTGATTGAAAATTGGGAGGCAGACTGAGAGAGGAATAAGTAGACAGTAGAATATTTTTAAATCCAAGATGCACATTGAAAGATGGCTACATATGTTTTCTCTTTGATAAATCTTTACAATGACAGAGAAATGAGAAATATAAATCGTTATATACTATGCTTATTTCCGTAAGACTAAGCATCATAAAAGACTCTTCCTTTCTTTGTTATATAGCTTATAAAGTTTGTACTAAATATTTCATAGTGATAGATTCTAAGTTTTACTTTATAAGGTCAAAAATTCAAATGATTACATTATGTAAGCTTGGCTTTGAAGGAAAATTTCTCCCCTACCCTACGAAAATGATTTGTTTAAAAACATATTACGAAAAACCATGATAGCACTGAATTCTTAAGAAAATATATCCGTTTTGAAAAACATACAGAAAACATACATTGAACGATTACTTCATCCACAAAAACACTTACGTACTTTTTTTATCTCTTTATCGACACTGAAAAAAACTACCTTGTGCCAATAATTTACAAGTCTTAACAGAATATGAATCTTGCACTATTCTATATAATTGTGTGCTTTCTTATGATTAAAAAATATCATACTCTTTGTTTTCAAAATCGTTATGCAACATACACTGAGGAACAAAAAGGATTGATAAAAATGACAGAATTTATGGAGCATACAGATAACATTGTCAGTTATAGGAATTTACTGTAACAATCATTTTATATCTACGCCTTTGCTAGCTATACTTTTATGAGAAAGTTTTTGATAGTTCCGCTTGGTTATCGAAATGCAGATCAAACGAGATGACATTCACACTTATTTTCATTAAAACCAATAGAACATTGTGCATTAATTGCACAAACTTGTTAATCTAAACTTTGTAAAATGAGTAGAGTCAATGATAAAATTCTTTTTCTAGACATTGAATATGTAAACCAAAAAACATTCTTAATTGTTTCTTATTTCGCTTTTCTCTACATTTATTTAGAGATCTATCTGACAACAGTATAACCTGCATACATGAGGTTGAATTTAATAGGCTATCAAATCTATCGAGACTGTAAGTATAGAATTTCTAACTTAGATTATTGCGAATCAATTAAAGATATCCTTTTATCGCCGCTTGGATTCAACATTTAAAAATTTGAACTTTTTCACATTATCGCTTTAATTCTTTCACTATAAATGTTCCAAACTGCATCCTAAAATACAGTAATTTATAAGCATTATACTTCATGAATTAGGATGGTTGCTAAATAAATTGAAGAATATAACATTCATTTAAAGATTCAAAGTGATTGTAGCTCTAACGATTAGGAGTCAGACTGAGGGAGGATGTCAGATATTTTGAATCAAAGATGCACATTAAAATATGGCTACACATGTTCCTCGTTGAAAAATCTCTACAATGAAAAAAACCCCCTAGAAATGTAAATCATTACATAGTGTGCTTATTTTCGTAAAATTAAGAATCAAAAGATTTTTCCTGTCTCTGTTTTACAGTTTGTTAATTTTGTATAAAATATTTTACAGTGATATAATCCACGTTTTTCTTTAGGGTAAAGAAATTAAAATGATTAGGCCTCGCAGCACTTTAATCTTTTCTTTTCTGAATTCTTTTGTCCATTATTTTACAACTTATATTATTATTGACAGAAATTTTGATAAGATATTATTCCTAAAATAAGATTTAAAAATTTCTCCCCTTTCCCCAAGAAAAATGAATTTTAAAAACATATTAGGAAAACCCATGGTAGCACTAAGTTCTTAAGAAAATATATCTTTTTTGAAAAACACAGAAAATAATTCACCACAAAATACCCTTATGTACTATTCCACAACGTTATTGGCTTTGAAAAAAGACAACTTACTTGTTCTATAAATTCATAACACTTGATAGAATACAAATATTGCACTCTTCTATTTAATTCTGTGTCTTCTAGTGATTTAAAACTTCCATAATATTTGTTTTCAAAGTCGTTATGCAACATACACTGACAAACAAATAGGAATGAAACAAATGACAGAATGTATAGAGCATACAGATAACTTATCAATTATTCGGAATTAAAATTACTATCATTGTATTTCATTCTTTGTCTTCGCTATATATTTTTTATGAGATGTATTTGATAGTTCATCTAGTTTGTCAAAAGAGATGACATTCACACTAATTTTCATGAACTGAACATTAAATTGAGCATTAATTGCACAAAATCTCACCTTCTCAACGTGTAGAGTATTTTTTTTTTCTCTTACTCTACACAATTAAACATTTATTATTTATTTATTTATTATTATTTACAAGTATTTACTTGTGTTTTTTTTCTCTCCACATTTACATTAGAGATCTATCCGACAACAGCATAACGAGCATACAGGAGAATGCATTTAATGGTTTGACAAGTCTTACACGTCTGTAAGTAAAGAATTTCTTACATGCATTACTGTGAATAAATCAAAAAACTCTCTGATCACTGTATGAAATTCAAATTTGAGTTTTTCATGATATCGTTTTTATTCTTTCAAGCTAATTGCTGCAAACTGTATCTTTAGATACAATAAGTAAACATTCTACTTCATCAGATTTTGATGTGTGTTAATTAGGAATATTAAATTTATGGGGAAAAAATCACAGTGATTGTAGCTTTAGGGATAGGGAGTCAGACTGAGAGATCTCTACAATGACAGATAAATGAGACGTGTAAATCGTTATATAGTTTGCTTATTTCTGTAAAACTAAGCACCATAAAAGACTTTTCCTTTCTCTGTTTTACAGTTTGTTCAGTTTGAAGTAACTATTGCATTGTGATAGATTTCAAGTTTTTCTTTAAAGGGTCAAAAAATTAAAATGATTAGGTTTGACTTTGAGGAGCTTTGATCATTTCTTTTCTGCATGATCTTGTATATCATTTTTGCCACGTTTATTATTACTGACAAAAATATTGCTAAGATATGACATTGTATCCCTAAAATAAGACTTACCCCCCCCCCCCAAAAAAAAGTACTTTTAAAAACACATTACGAAGACCCATTATACCACTGGATTCGTAAGAAAATATATCTACATACAGAAAATACACATTGAAAGATTACTTTACCATAAAATACCTTTACTATTCCACCACTTTATCGACTATGAAAAAAGACGAGTTACTTATGCAATGAATTCATCAGACTTGATAGAATGCAAATCTTGCACTATTGTATCTAATTCTATTTATTCTAATGATTTAAAAAAATAATACTCTGTTATAATAGTCGTTTGTCTGTTTGTTTGTTTAACGTCTTTTTCGAGAATTTTTACTCATATTGAGACGCCAACACTTGCCGATGGAGGTCTGCAAATTTTGGACCTATACTCGGCATTCAGGACTATTGAGCAATCAGGGATCTTTTTTGTGCCAGCACCTACTTCGAAATGGGTCCTCGGTTTATACGATCTCATCCGAAGGACCGGTCTCTACGTTCCGCAGTAGGATTCGATCCCGCGAGGTAAGGATCAACTCCTTACTCTGCGACTCTGGAGCAAACGCTTTAACCACTGCGCCACGCGAGCAAATATCATATTTGTTTTGCACCATAACAAACACCGACGAACAAATAGGAATGACAAAAATGACAGAATGTATAGAGCATGCAGAAAACATTATCAATTATTCGGAATGGAAATTACAAGCACTTTATTTCAGTCTATGCCTTTGCTGGCTAATTATTAAACATTAAATATATAAATCATAATATACACTTACTTGTGTCTTTTTCTCTCCATTTACAACAGTTATCTATCCGGCAACAACATAAGCAGCATACAGGAGAATGCATTTAATGGTTTGACAAGTCTAACACGTCTGTAAGTAAAGAGTTTTGACTTAGATTACTGTGAATAAATCAAAGAATTCTTTGATCACTGTTTAAATTCTTCAGTTCAAGATTTTTGTTTTTCATGATATCGGTTTAGCTGTTTCAAGCTAATTGCTTCAAACTGTATCTTTAAAAATATGCCAGCATTATACTTCATCAATTTTTGATGTGTGTTCATTAAAAATAAATTTATAAAAAAGAATCATAGTGATTGTAGCTTTAGGGATAGGGAGTCAGACTGAGAGACGAATAAATAGACGTAGGATATTTTTAAATCTAAGTCGCACATTACAAGATAGCTACACATGTTTAATTTTTCTTTGATAGATCTCTACAATTACAGAAAAATGAGAAATATAAATTGTTATATAGTGTTCTTATTCCATAATAATAAACATCAGAAAACACTCTTCTTTACTCTGTTTTACAGTTTGTTTAGTTTGAAGTAAATATTTGAAAGTGATATATTCCGAGTTTTTCTTTAAAGGGTCAAACAATTCAAAAGATTAGGCTTGACTTTGAAGCACTTTAATCTTTTCTTTTCTACATATTACTTTTGTTCATCATTTTGCCACGTATATTACTATTGACAAAAATATTTCTGGGAGATAAAAAAAAATATTTTATTCCTTAAAAAGATTAACAAATCCCCCTTCCAAAGAAATATGAATTTTTAAAAACAAAGTACGAAGTCCCAAGATAGCACTGAATTCTTAAGAAAACATTTCTATTTGAAAAAAAAAAAACCCATATATTTCAACATTTACTTCCGCCACAAAAACCCCCTTAATATTCCATTTCTTTATCGGCGATGAAGATAGACGAGTTACATTTCCTGCATAAATTCATAAACTTGATAGAATACAAATATAGCACTATTCTATTAAATTCTATGTATTGTATTAATTTAAAAATTTCATACTCTATATTATCATATTCGTAATGCAACATACACTAACAATGAAATAGGAATTACAAAACTGGCACAATTAATAGGGAGTACAGATAACATTATTAATTATTCAGAACAAAATCACCATTATTTTATCTCAGTATTTGCCTTTATCATCTATTTTTTATGAGAGAAAGTTTTGACAGTTCTGCTTGTTCATCAAAATGCAAATCAAAGAGATGACAATCACACTAATTTTTGTTAAAATGAACATAAAAAATACGTGCATTAATTGCACAAACTTGTTAATCTCATCTTTTCAAAATGTTTCGAGCCAAATAAATTTTTTTCTCTCTTTCTCTAGATAGATAAACATTAAATCTAAATCAGAACAAGTACTTACTTTGTCTTTGTTCTGTACATTTACAGAGGTCTTTCCGGCAACAGCATAACCACAATACAGGAGAATGCATTTAATAGTCTGTCTAGTCTACGGTATCTGTAAGTATAGAATTTCTAACTTAGATTTCTGTGAATCTTTTTCCTGTGAATTACTTTTTTCACTGAAGTAATTCAGATATTCCAAATTTGAGTTTTTCGTGTTATCGTTTTAATTCTTTCAATATAAATGTTCTAAATTGTATCCTAAAAAACAGGAATATCAATATTATATTTATTTTTCTTCATATCAATTAAGTATGCGTGTTGATTAAAGATATTACATTGATAAAGAGATTCGTAGTGATTGTAATGAAAAAAGGTAAAGATAACGAACAGTGACCGATCTCACCTCAAAAAATCAACAAACTACACAAATCTGGACACGGACACCCGGAAATACCAGAGGTGGGATCAGGTGCCTATGAGGAGTAAGCATCCTCTGTTGACCGGTCGCACCCGCCGTTAGCTCTATGTATTTATCAAGTAGACGTAACATTCCGTAGTCAAGTTTAGTATCAAAACAAAGGCCTAACAATTGGTATGAAAATCTGGAGATAGGGAGTCAGATTGAGAGACGAATAAGTACATGTTTGATATTTAGATATTCAAGATGGACAATGAATGATGGCTACATATATTTCTTATGTGTCAGCCATGTTTTGACGTGAACCTCAACCGAAATACTGTTATATGACACCTGCAAGCAAGAGCAACCCAAAGTACCACAAAGATATTTTAAACAAAGAAAGTGCATATGTAATATTCTTAAATGACAAAATATCTTTCTGGTATATTCAGGCGCTCGTATTTTGTAGAACGTAAGAATGTTGAAAATACTGACCTTCTTACCGTTTTTTCATGATTATGCAAAATCCAAGTCCTCTTAAATTTATTTTACAAACAAATAAGAAGAAATATGATATGTTTCATAAGAAGAACTTGTTACCAACTTTTAAAAGACTTTTGGATTTTTTTTTATTATCAGTAATTTATTAAGAAATTCGGGGGCCATCCGGATTATATAGAGCATGCAGATAACATAAGCAATCGTTAGGTATTACAACAGTAATAATGTAGCCTTTGATTTTGCCATCCATTTTTTATGAGATAACTTTTTGATATTTCTACTGGTTTATCAAAATGCAGAGCAAAAGAGATAACATTCACACTAATGTTCATTCAAAGAACATAAAATTGTGTATTAATTGCATAAACTTAGTAATCTCATCTTTTAAAAGGTGTAGAGTGAAATAAAATATTTTTTCTCTTTCTCTAGATAGATAAACATTGAATTTATAAACCAGAAAAGTACTCATTTATATTATTTATATTTCCTCTACATTTACATTAGAGGTCTATCATTCAACCGCATAACCGCAATAGAAGGAAATGCATTTAATGGTCTGTCAAGTCTATCGAGTCTGTAAGTAAAGAATTTTTAATTTAAATTACTCTGAATCAATAAAGAACTCTTTTATCACTGCTTTCAATTCAACTTCTATTTCCAAATTTGAGTTTTTCACGCTATCGGCATAATTCATTCAACACAAATGTTCCAGACTGTATCCTCAAAGACAGTTATATGTAACATTATACTTAATCAATTAAGGGTGGATTATGATAAAGGACCTTACATTTATAGAAAGATTAATAGTGGTTTAGGCTCTGAGGATTAAGAGACGAAAAAGTAAATGCATGATATTCTATAATCAAAAATGCACATTCAAAGATGGCTGCACATGCTTTTTTTCTTAGATAAATCTTTAAAATGAAGAAGAAATGAAAAATTTATAAATATTGTGCTTATTTCCGTAATAATAAGCCTCATAAAAGACTCATCTTTACTCTGTTTTACAATTTGAAAAGTTTTAAGTAAATATATTTTATAGTGAGGCATTCCAAATTTTTCTTTATAGGGTTATAAAATTCAAATGTTAGGCTTGACATTGAAGTGCTTTAATCTCTTATTTTCTGTATGCTTTTGTCCCTAAGTTACCAAGTAGTTTAGAATTGAAAAAAAAAATTGCTAAAACATAAATGATATGGTATTTCTAAATAAGGATTAAACATTTTACGGAGATTTGTGATAGCACCATCTTCTTATATACAAAAATATATCTATTTTGAAAAAACAGAGAAAACATACATTGAGCGATTGCTTCATGGACAATTTTTTTTTTACCTTTTCCATCTCAATATCGGCAATAAAAAATACGAGGAACTTGTGTAATTAATTATAGCTATTTCTATGTATTCTAATGATTTGATAAAATTCATATTCTACAAGTTACCCTAATCGTAATACAATATACACCAACAAACAAATAGGAATAACAAAAATGACAGAATTGATAGAGCATACATATAACATTTATCACATTTTGAATTAAATCACAATCATAGTAATTCAGTCTTTGCCTTTGCCATCTACATATTTTAGTATGAGATGAGTTCTTTTACTAGTTCCACTTTTTATCAAAATGCAGATCAACAGAAAAGACATTCAAAGTAATTTTCATTAACATTAATTGCACAAACTTGTTCATCTCACCTTCTAAACTTGTAGAGGAAAATATTTTTTTTCTCTTTCTCTAGATAGATAAACATTGAGTATTTAAAACAGAACTAGTACTTACTTGCGTCTTTTTTCTCTCCATTTACATTAGATATCTATCCAACAACAGCATAACTACAATACAAGAGAATGCATTTAATGGTCTGACAAGTTTATCGATTCTGTAAGTCTAGAATTTCTAACTTGGATTACTGTGAATCAATTAAAGAACTCTTTTATCACTGTTTTGAATTCAACAATTAATTCCAAATTTGAGTTTTTCATGTTATCGTTTTAATTCTTTCAATATAAATTTTCCGAACTGTAACCTAAAAGACAGGGATATGTAAGCATAATATATCATTAATTAAGGATGTGTTTATTAAGAACATTACATTTATAAAAAGATTCATAGTGACTATAGCTCTGGGGAAAGGGAGTCAGATTAAATAATGATGAGTGGACTTTTATATTTCGAAATCCAAGATGCATATTGAAGATTGCTTCACATATTTTTTTTTCTTTGATAGACCTCTACAATAACAGAGAAATGAGAAATATACATTGTTACCTAGTGCGCTTATTTTCGTAAAACTAAGCACCATAAAAGGTTTTTTTTGCACTCTGTTTTACAGTATGATAAGTTTGAAGTAAATATTTTTAATATTTTTAGTGAGAGATTTCAAGTTTGATTTATAGTGATTTTAAAATCCAAGATGAAAATTGAAAGATGACTTCATATGTTTCGTTGTCCTTTGATAGATCTTTACAATAATGGAGAAGTGAGAATTAGATATTGTAATATAGTGTGTTTATTTTCGTTATATTACATCATTTAATCCGTTTTTTTTTACTGTTTTACAGTTTGTTAAATTTTGGAGTAAATATTTTATAGTGAAAATTCTTTTTTTTCTTCACAGAGTAAAAATAATAACTGATGAGGCTTAAATTGACTTTGAAGGGAATTAATCTCTTCTTTGCTGCATGTTTGTGTCCATTATTATTTCAAATATAGTATTATTGACAAAAATATAACTAAGAAATAAAATATATTGTATTTAAAAAATAAGAACAATTTTTTTTTCCTCTTTTCTTTTCTGCATGTCTGTATCCATAATTTTTTTAAAGTATATTATCATTTCCAAAAATATTACCAAGATTTAAAAGATATTGTACTAAAAAAATAAGAATGAAAAAAAGTCTCCTCTTCCTCGAAGAAAAATAATTTTTTGAAACAAATTACGAAGTCCCACAGCAGCTCTGAAATCTTTAAAAAAAATACATTTAAAAAAAAATACAGAAAACATACATTCGACTATTACTTCCTCTAAAAAAAATCCTTACTATTCCATCTCCTTATCGTTAAACAAAAAAAGAGCCGTTGTCTGTGCCATAAATTCATAAGACTTGATAAAACACAAATCTTGCACTATTATATCTAAATCTATCTATTCTGATAATTTTAAAAATCCTTTCCTCACCCGCGTGGCTCAATGGTTAGTGCGTTTGCTCTAGAGTCGCGGAGTAAGGAGATGATCATTACGTCGCGGGTTCGAATCCCACTGCGGGACGTGGAGTTGAGGTCCCCTGTCGCAGTAAGAGCTGGCACAAAAAAGATCCCCCACTGCTCAATGGCCCTGAGTGCCGAGTATAGGTCTAAATTTGCATCCCTCGACCGGCAAGTGGTGGCGTCTCCATATGAGTGAAAAATTCTCGAGGGGGCGTTAAACAAAAAAATAAATAAATAATAAGTTAATACATTCTTTCTGTATGTTATTTAGTCGCAATGCAACATATAGGAAAGACAAAATAGGAATGACAAAAATGACAGAATTTATAGATCATACAGATAACATTATCAATTATAAAGAATTAAATCACAATCATCATAGTCGCCCGCGTGGCGCAGTGGTTAGAGCGTCTGCTCTTGAGTCGCGAAGTAAGGAGTTGATCCTTATGTCGCCGGTTCGAATCCCACTGTGGGACGTGGAGATCGGTGCTTCGGGTGAGACCGTATAAACCGAGGTCCCGTGTCGAAGTAGGTGCTGGCACGAAAAGATCCCTCACTGCTCAATGGCCGTAAGTGCCGAGTATAGGACAAAATTTGCAGCTCTCCACTGGCAATTGGTGGCGTCTCCATATCAGTGAAAAATTCTCGAGAGGGACGTTAAAATCATACAAACAAACACAATCATCATATTTCAGCCTTTCCCTTTGCTTTTTTATTTTTGTATACGTTTTCGATAGTTCTGCTATTTTAACATGCAGATCAAAAGAGATGACATTCACATTAATCTCACTTTTTCAAAAGGCGTAGAGTAAATTAAAAAATATTTTTCTATTTTTCTAGATAGAGATCAGCGCCAATTTTCAATTATGAATCAACATGAAAATTTTGGCCATTTAGATTCAAGCTTCTGTATAACGACTCTAAAAAATCATTCCACATCAATGGTCTTTCATTTCATTTAGCATTAAAACTACACACTAAAGTTTGACAACAGTGTTACTGTTATTTCTCTTTTTCTATTCACACCAAAACTTTTTTTCTTTTTTCAAATAAATATATTTATCAATGTAACCGAATGAATATTGTTAAAATGTAATCATGATTATACATTTATGATTTCATCTTTCTTCCAGTTATATAAATGGTAATCCTTTTCACTGTGATTGTGAGTTGAAAGGCTTTGTCAGATTTATGAAATCAAGGAGAGATATATTGTACGGGAGCTCTCATCCAGAATGTCTTTCTCCTGGCGTCTTGAAAGGAACACGCCTTGCTGATCTTTCAGTTTCAAACTTGACATGTCTTTCCAATGACGTTAGCACTATTCATTAAATTGACGCCGAGTTCATAACAATATCCTTGATCTTGCCTGTCTGAGAGACTAACTCTCTCACTCCGTATACTCTGAACATTGATGTTGAACTCACAACTTCAGGAGGAAATAATTGAAAGCTTAATCAAGGTTTTACGGAATCATTGCAAAAACAATGATGCAAATTTAACGAGAAATTTTAAAACAATTGTAATTAATGTCAATTATTTCAATATTTTTTTTTACATATGAAGTCAATCCGTATTTAGATTTAACGTAGTTTATAAATCATGAAAATTTATGGGAATTAATTATTCAAAATGTATATGAGGATTAAAAATTAATTCCTTTGCAATCGATAAACGATGCCCCATAATAAACATAATGTACAGTAATCAGTAATATACGATGGCCGATATGAGCCGTCAAATTACAAGTAAGAGTAACTCTATTATGTACGCAGAATTAATTGACTTTAGCAGTAATACCTGTATCATTTTGTACATGTACATCTTTGTCAATGACAAAACGCTTGTACTTGTAATATGAATTTGTACATGTACAAATCTTGAGACAAAATACATTTGAAACTACTTGACATTCCTCAGATTTATTGAGGAGATTATCTGTAAACTTAGAAAGGGTTTTAAACAAAACACGTGTGTTTTTTAAATTTTTTTTTTGGGGGGGGGTGTTAAATAAATCTTATTTTTTAATGATATTAAAAAGAGCAAGACTGTTTGTACATTCACATATGTCGTATGAGATCACGACTCTCAGATTTTCCATCAAAGAATATTTTGTAAGTGTCTTTATTCAGATTCCTCGTGTTTTTGTTGGATTTAAACCTCTTTCACGACAACGCAATATAGAAATTAAGTCGTATGGTGTCGTGCTTAGCGTAACGAAGTTTTTTTTTTTTTTTTTTTTTTTTTTTTTTTTTTTTTTTTTTGTAAGAAAGCTGATACTCAGGATTTTATCGCTTAGGTTCAAATCAAATTAAAAAATCCTAGATTTGATTTACCATAGAATAATTTTTGCCGAGATAATTTTTCAGCAGAAAACATTTGTTTGTCATAATTAATGAAAACTTATAAATTGGTCTAAAAATTGGTTGATTATTAAATTTGATTTTGGTCCCAAATTGGCCTCCTGGATGAAAATGAAAATTCCAAAAATCTTACTGCACAGACAACACAAATGATATTCTAAAAGATGATTTGACAACTGCATAAAATTTTATTTAGGAGTTCTAAACATGGTTTTGTGCAAGATTGATTTTTGACCCCAAATGACCTCCTGTATGAAAACGAATATTATGAAATCTCATTGCTTATCGACAAAACACCACAAATCATTCCAAAGATGATTTGGCTACTGCATAAAATGTAAGAGAAGTTAACTGAAAACGCCGTTTTCGACTCCCAAATGCATGGCTCCAGATGCTACTTTTTACAATTCTGAAAGGTTATTGAACATCTAACGTACAGGACAACACCAATCAGATTTTTTTTTTTATAAAAAATGATCTGCTACTGCTTAGAATAGAAAGTAAAAGTTCTGAGAACCAGGTTTACTAAGAAAAATGGCGTTTTTTGATTCCCAAGGTGAAAATAATATTACAACACCTCATTAAAAATCTACAGGATACAACCAATCATATTCCAAAAGACGAATGCTTCAGAGCTATTCTTTGTAACCACTTAAACTTCTTTGCCACGCATGGTCATCGATTTTGATGAAACTTTGCCCATTATGCCTATTACAACTTGGTTCAAGAAACATATATCAAATAAAATTTGGTTGCTATGTGTCTTGGTTGCTATGTTAACAGTCGGAAAAGTTTTTAAAAAATTGATATTTTCGGCTACTTTGAACCTTTATTGGCCTTAGTAAAGACTATGAAAAACAAACAAACCATTTTCACAAAACATGACACCTTATGCTATAAAGAAACTTTTTAGAATATATCTCTAGTAAGTGGTAACCATAGGTACATTAACTCTAAATTTTTACCAGTGATAGGTGTTACGTGATCAAACTCAATCAGTAGCTCAAGAAAAGCAATAAAAATATTTGACCTTAAGGACAGATGATACAAACAAACTTTTATCAATAATTCTGAAAATAACAACTTAAATCATGTTTATATAAGTAAAATGAATCAGTTTAACCGCATATATAGTTTTTAATTTTTCATTCAAAGTTTCACAGTTATGGGATTTAAATTGACAAAAAAATATGTAGATTAATAAGGATGATTGCAGAATGGTAGAAGTTTAACATCATAGAAAGTTTACAATTTCTTAATATTTAAGAAATTTATTATCTGCATCATTCACAACTAAAATAGGTCCAAAAATATATAACAATCCAGACATCCATTTTTTTTTTTTTTTTTGTATCACCTGTCCTTAAGGAAACATCACAAGGTATATTATTTTAAAAAAATAACTTTCATGGTTGCCATGGTAACACAGTGTAGCCATAAAAAAGTTGTTGCTAAGTTTTGGTTAATCCTACTATCCTGAGGAAAAACATGGACTTCAAAACTGGCCAATACAACCATTAGGATCTTGCAACACAGATAACATAAGATTGGGATTAATAGCTAATTTGTAGCGTAACCATGTAAACAAGATACTAGTGGTGTAAAATGATTTTTTGCTGCTATAATAATTTAGTTACCTTTTAATCAAGAAACATATTATTTGACTCACCTTGAATACTAGGTACCTGATACACTGTAGATACACTGTAGAGCTAAAGTTGAATATCATAATGAAGAAAATAACACTGTTTCTATGTTACCAAGAAGGAAAAATGTTCGATTTTGTTTACTTTATGGCAATATTAATACATATGTGGCTGCTTCTTGCATCTAGTTAGAGATCCTGTGGTAGTCATAATTGAAAGTAAGGTTACTTGTTCATAAATATCATAAACGTTTTGGGAATCTACGTACAAGGGTACGTATCAAAGGAAACTAAATATTTTTCAGCTTTTCATACATTCTTTTTTCCGCTAATTTCCATAGCAACGCTCTAATTAAAGAATTTGATTTGACTTTTTTGAAATGTGAAAATTAGGACCACACCAATGCCTTTAAAAATTGATCACCATTTAGAAAGAAATGTGCTGTTTTAAAAGACAGAATCAGATTTAAACATACAGAGATACATACAGAGAGTACATTTGAAATCCCTTTGGGGTATTAAAAACATGACAACCACTGCCAAACAGTAAGAAATACCACATTTCGTCCTTCGTATAAAAGGATCTTTATTATTTGTTTGCATTTCATCATATAATTGCATATAATTGCTTTTATTTTTGAGTTTCTATGGTAATTTATGTAATAGTTGATTTCCAAAACATATGTTTATCAAGGATTTAAGACATCGTGCCTTCAACTTTTGGAAACAGTTTGCTACTTGTTTACATTGCTGCAAACGTTCATTATGGGACTCTGAACATGTTGAAAAATGTTATTTTTCAAAGTTTAGGGCACATTCCCATGGTAACCATGACACAATTTTTACCTAATTTTAGTTTACAATATGAAAGACTTTTATCATGGAGAGTTAGAGAAATTCTAAGACTATGTGTGCCATAGCTCCTATATAAAATTTCAAGTCATTACAGAGAATGGCTCTCAAAAAGTAAGAGGGTTTGTGTCATACGGAGGACTAACAGACCTGCGCTAGGATCATGAAACGGGTTTCTTTTTTAAAAATAACTTGAAAGATAGAATTTATATTTTAATAATGTTATTTTTTATAGTCGGCCATGTGCTTCCTGTCATATCCCAAATTATTGTTGTATCAAATTTTCGTCTAAAACAAAAAAAAATACTATGTATATATATTAACCTAAATTATTTCATTCTTTTCAGGTATTTTCAATTACTTGTAATAAATCATAAAATGCAATGTTGATCCTAAAGTATCATATACTACAGGCCTCAAATAAAATTCCCGACCGGATAAATCAGTAAAATAATTTCTTTTTCAATTTTTCTATAGTTCGATGGCTAAAATAATTCAAAGCACCAATCACAGTCCTCTTCTTAATTAAAAAAAGAGCATCACAAAGTCAGACAATTTATAAATTTGGGCGATTTTTTTCTTCATCAGAGAATGATTATAAGTTCCCAATTTCCTATGAATTACCTAATACTACATACATTTTTTATACCTATGATTTGTATGAAGTAGTCTTGGAGGTACTAGAAACTGAGAACAATCCACTACACCTGCAGATTTTAATTGTTACAATATGAGATAATAAGTTAATAATTGAAGAACATGTGTATTTTTTTTTATTTTAGGTTGATATTTGAGTACATGTCATTTTTCTCTGAATATAGTACATGTTATTTCATATTTGATGTTAATCATTGAAGTGTTTCATGTCTGTGTTTAAAATATTTCATTTTATGACGTTGATTAATAGTTGATGAAGTGTTCATTATTTGTTGTTATCTCATGTCAGAGGCCTATAATAGATAAAGTAGCATAGAATAGATAAGTATATTGGGATCAATAAAATATGTTCAGCACAATCTTCTGTATCATTATTTCACAAGGTTCTAAATAGCTTGGTCATTGTAGGAATGTTAAAAACTCATTATACGTAAATTTCATTTTTTAAAAATTTTATTTACTGATATATTTTGTAACTATGTATTTTGCTGTCAAGTTTGTAATAAATATTAAGCATGTAAGCCTAACACTTGAAATAAGTTTTTTTTATACATTATTTATTGTTTCATCCTGTTAGCCCATCTAAGTCAAGAGAAAGTCAGAGTTATTTGTAATAAACGTATTACATTTGAGTACATGTACATAAATGCCCATCTATGTTTGCAGATACATTTTCAACTTTTCCGAGAGAACACTAGACCAAATTCAACCAAACTTAGTACAAAATATCATTGGTTGAAGAGTGAATCTTTAAAGATGTCTTGTCAAGAACAATTAGATGCTGCCATAAGAAGGTAATACCTGCACATAGGTCT